ATCACAAGATTGCGTCTTCTTTCACAGCGATCCGGCTCGAAGGACCAAATTTATGTGTGAATTCGTCGCTCGTCAGTTTTCCGCCGTTGGCACGGCGAAAACGCGACTCTTCCACGGAGGCTGATACAGCCTTATCAGAAGGCTCGCCGTGACAGGAGTTTAAAAGTCCGTTGAGTATTCGTGCACCTTCAATTATTTATTGAGTGACGGTACATCGAACGACGTTGATAGTACAGTATACAGCGGTAACCGAGACCGGGTAACACGTTCTATCTTCAAGCCAACTACTCGTGTTCTGACCAGAGATCCCGTGTCGTCGCGCGGAATCCTCACGAAGAGAAATCCCCCCTTTTCGGAGAATAGACGCCTGCTCTTTCCGAATTGGCGGACAAATTCGAAATAATGTGAGAGCGTTTACCAATAACGGCGAGTTTGACTGCGAAAACATCTCATGGTCGAAACTGTTTAGATCGCGAGGTTTATTTGGGAGACTAACGACATTCCACTGTCTCGATAGCTTTCTCTTTGCAAATACATAACGCTTGAGAACAGAGAATTACTGTTTGAATCCGGAACAAAAGGGAAAAAGAAGGATTAGTAATACAATGGGTCCGCCCTGTGATTAAATACAAGAAAAGAAAAAGGATTAGTCGGATTGTGTCGATATTCGGAGAGTACGCAACGGGAATCGAGATACAGGAATATTAATGTGATTATACGGATTTATGATAATGTACAGAGAGTACGCAACTGGATCGGAATACCGGAATACAAAATATAATTAGTCGGATTTATAATAGTGTACAGAAGGTACACACTGGATCGGAATACAGAAATATATATATGATTAATAATGTTTATCATAAGGTACACAACTGGATAATATGATACGGATATAATGACTGGATAATATACACTGGATAATCGGATCGCTAATACCCTGGCAATGCGCCGGAAACAAACAGGAAGGATGCCTGTACGGAATCCTTTTGGTCTGCAAGGGGAGAAAAATAACGGGATTAATTCTACGGGCTTAACTAGAATTAATTAGAAATTCTTTCCCACCCGAATATTCCCTCCTGAGTTCTACACCGGTCAGGAATCAGGAAAAGGAATCAGGTCAGGTCAGGAACACGCCCGAGCAGCGCCTCGTTATGCGTGAATTTCAGTAGTGATTGTACACCGAGGAGCACCCCGTTAAGTGTACGCTACTGCGGAGATACTCCGTCCCCGCGAAACACGGCGGTACCCGCTGTCACGGGGGGAACGGAGCCAGGACGGATACAGGAGACCGGTACGGGAAAATTGTAGCATGTGTACACCGGGGAGCACCCCGTTAGGTGTACGCTACTGCGGGACAGGGCACACGACGGAGTAGCACCTCCGGTGTGCGCTCCGGTATGGTATATAGCCGAAGACAGGAGCACCCATTCACTCCGGCTTATACCTGCAGTGGAGGTGCCCACTGCCCGGTGTCGTTGCTCGGAGCTCCAAGCGCAGACTGAGTTAAAGCGCCTGCTCCGGAGGGGCTTTTATACCCCCCGGATGTAGGCGCGCGGGTAGAGGCGGCGGGGGTAGGCGCGGCGTTGCCGGCTACCGTCGATGCGGCAACCGCGCCGCTATCGATTTTCCACTCGCAGCTGGTAGTGCGGTCTCTTTCTACCGGCCGCGCCTCCCCTGTCGCCTCCGTTACACCCCCCCCCCCCTCCTTTCGGAGAGCGGAATTTTCGGATTTCCGCTCTTCGAAAATGTTAATAACTGATTACTTACGGTTCTACAGTTGGCGCTTTGACCCAATGCCTCACCGTCCCGGTCGCCGGATCGAGGCGGAGGGCATACTTAATTTTCCCGATCCGGGTGCGCCAGCGCTTTGTGCCGATGGGCACCCGGATCAGGCATCCGTCGACTACGACGTCTCTTTCCTCTCGCGGCGCCGTGCGGATGATGAAGAAGGGGTCGCGGGGCATCCGCGGCATCGTCCTGCCTTCGCCGGGGGGAACGGTGTCGGTCCCCGCGTGAACCAGGGTTGGCATGGGCTCGGGGGTGGCAAGGGCCGAAGTATGCGGGAGGTGATCCTTGGTGATCGGCCTCTCGGTGGCTGGCGCGAGGGATGGAGCGGTCGGAGCGGCGGTGCCGGCGATCCCTTTTTCGGGCGTGATAGCTGGGGCAGCGGCCCCGGCTGTGGCAATGGTGGTGCTTCTCCCCGCGCCCGAAGATCTCACCAACCGGAATGTATGAGGCGGGAAAACCTCAATCAGCCGCACGGTGGGTCCGGCGGCCCGGGCGGAGGAGGAAGCGGTATTGCTCGGTGGTACATTCTCCTCGTCGCTTAGGTCCACCACTGGGATGTCTTCTGGTGGACGTCGTGGTCCCGCAAGTCCGCGTCGAATCACCCCCGGGTTGTTGCGGATGCGGCGGGTAATCGTCTTCCGCCAAAATTTTCCCGCGTCGCTTAGCCTTGAGCCCGGTGGTCGGCTTGGTGTCACCCCCACTAGGGGTGGTCTGGCGGGCGGCACGACTTTTCGCGGGAGCGTCGGTGTTCGCGTAGTCGGGTCCATCGCCACGGAGGTTTGGAGTAAGACTAAATTTTCCGCGTCTGGCTCGCGAAAATATATAGTGAACGCGCGTGGGTGGAGGGGAGGGGCAGAGCGGCTAACGGTCGGTGAATTCGGAGAAGTATAGGCTCCGGAAGTAATTCGGGAAAATATAGAGTCCGGAAATAATTCGGGGAAATGCAGGCTCGGGAAGTAGTTCGGAGAAGTACAGGCTCCGGAAGTAGTTTAAGCGAAGTACAGGCCCATTATTGATTCATCGCTTTCAGGTCGCGTATGTGTACGCGTGGCACAGCTTTCTTACCGTCGGTAGTTTTTAACTCGAATATTACAGGCGATCGCACCCGGTGAACAATGTACGGACCCTCGTATTTAGCTGCAAGCTTAGTATTAAAATCGTCCGCTTTACTTGACAGTTCGTGTGTCCGTTTAAGTACTTTTTCCCCAACTCGGGGCTTCCAATCTCGGCGCCGAAGGTTATAATGATGTTGTTGCCGCTGGAAGCTCTGCGCCAATTTGACTCTTGCAAGTTGCAATGCCTCATGCATTTGCTTAATTCGTGTTTCGGGATCCTCTTGCTCCGTGTTTACAGTTTTTTGCCCTATGTGTCCGGACAGTCGCAACTCTCGGCCGAAGTTCAAATAAGCCGGCGTGTAGCCCGTCGATTCACAATGCGCTGTGTTGTAGGCAAACGCCAATTCCGGGATGAATCGATCCCATTTCTTTTGTGATTTCTCTATCGTTTGGGAAATCATCGTTTTCATTACCTTATTTGCTCTCTCCACAGGATTGCATTGAGGAGCATAAGGCGGTGTTAGACGGTGCGTTATCCGGTGTTTTTCTAGGAGGTTTTTAACGTCAGTCGAAATAAACTGTCGGCCGTTGTCGGTAATCAAGGTTTGCGGACACCCATGCCGCAACAGGATTTTCTCTCGGAGGGCTTTTGCAACCGCGCTTGCTGTGGCTTTCCTTAGCGGCTGTAATTCAATCCACTTGGTCATTTTGTCTTGGATGACCAGGAGCCACGTATTTAAACTCTCCGATCTCGGAAGTGGCCCGACTAGATCGGCAGCTACAATTTCCCACGGTGCCTTTACGTCAAGTGCGTGTAACTTTCCGGGCGGCTTTCGTTGCTCCGTTTTATATTTTTGACAGCTGTCACAATTGCGCACGTACTGTGCGGCCTCCCGGAACATTCCAGGCCAATAGTAATTTTTCGCTAGGCGTACTATGGTTTTTGCCACGCCTAAGTGCCCCGCCGTCGGATCGTCGTGATTTTCATGTAAGATCTTTGCCCTCTGGTCGCCGGAAACGCAGTTTTTCCACTGCTGTACTTCGGGAGTGTCGTTGTAGTCGAGCGTGTGCAAAATGTGCCGATGGAGCTGGCCATTTTCTATACGGTAGTCAGGATTGAGTTCAGGATGCTCTTCTACTTCTTGGTACTTTCGGCTGTACCAATCGGACGTCGGAACTCCCGCTGCACAGATTTCGAGCGGCTGTCTGGATAGCGTGTCGGCGAGCAGATTATCGGAGCCTCTTCGGTACTGGATCTCGAAGTCGTACTGCCCTAACTCTAGCGCCCAACGAGCCAGTCGTCCCGTAGGACTTTCTATGGTATTTAACCATTTTAAAGAGTGATGGTCCGTCAGGACGACGAAGTGATACCCTTCCAAATAATCGCGGAATTTCCAGATGCCCCACTTGATTGCAAGGCATTCTAGTTCGGTTGCCGAGTAATTTTTCCCGGCACTGGTGAGTGTCCGGCTGGCATATCCGATCACCCTTTCGGATCCGCGTATCTGCTGGGTAAGTGCTGCGCCTAGCCCCTCTTGGCTGGCATCGGTCTGGAGGACGAACGTCTGGCTCCAATCTGGACAGGATAATATTGGAGCATTCGTCAGTAACTTCTTCACTTCGTCAAACGCTGCTTGTTGCGTTTTGGACCATTCCCTCTTTGCTCGCTTGCGCAGGAGGCGGTGTAACGGGGCAGCGACACTGGATACGTCTTTCAGGTAACGTCGGTACCACGATATTAATCCCATGAAGCGTTGGATCTCCTTAACGTTTCTGGGCGGCGTGAGATTTACTACGGCGGCGGTCTTGTCTGGATCGGCATGCAAGCCGTTCTGATCGACGATGTGTCCGAGGTATTTTAATTTTAATCGGGCGAATTGGCACTTCTCTGGATTCGGCTTGAGTTTGGCATTTCTCAGTCGCTCAAAGACAATTTTTAGAGTCTCTAAGTGCTCGTCAAACGTCTTCGATATTATGACGATGTCATCCGGGTATGCGAAGGCGTTTGGGAGCAGTTCCGACGTAATCACCTGGTCGAGTAATCTCTGGAATGTGGCCGGTGCGGAATGTAAGCCGAAGGGCATTACATTAAATTCGAATAAACCCTTCCCCGCGACGGTGAAGGCGGTCAAGGGTTTACTTTCTGGCGTCAGGGGTACCTGCCAATACCCATTTTTCAGGTCGATCGTAGACAGGTATTTCGCCCCTCTGAGCTTATCCAATGTCGCGTTGATTTGCGGCAATGGATAAGCGTCTTTACGGGTGACTTTATTTAGTTTCCGGTAGTCGATGCAAAGACGCGGTTGGCCGTCTTTTTTCCGGACCACAACGATAGGAGAACTCCAGGGACTGGTTGATGGTCTAATTACTCCTTCGTTGAGCATTTTCTCTATTTCTTCCTCGATGATTTTCTGCATCACCGGATTTCGAGGCCTATACCGCTGTTTGATAGGCGATGGATCTTCCAGCTTTATTTCATGTTGGATGAGGGGAGTGCTCCCCTGAATGTCCCCGAACCTCTCCATTTCGTTCTTCAGGAAGGCGTCGAGTCTGGTTTTCTCGACTTTTCTTAGGTGCGTGAGTCCGCCGGGATTTTCCACGGAGCTGATGTCTGTCCTGTTCCCTGCGCTATGGATCCCTTGTCCAGTGAGGCAGATCTTGATCCCGAGTTTGTTTAGGGCATCCATGCCCAGCAGGATATCGTGACTTAAGTTCTTCATTATCAGGAGCGTCTGCTCCGTGGAAATGCCCATTGTCTTACAATTTCCAGTTAATCTATTCCTCAGGGCGGTTTCGGTACCGTCGGCCAGGACTGCAACACAGTGATCCTTCTGCTGGCGCCATCCGGCTTGGCGACAGATTTCGGCCGTCTCTTCGCTGCAGTATGAATTTACCGAACCGGTATCAATGAGCGCTGTGCATCTGTCTTTACCGATCTTTACCGTCAAGAACGGTCGGTTCTCCCCGTTCGTTATTAGTTTTGCGTGGGCCGGTCCTGACTTCCTGAGTCGCCGGCCCCCTTGGCGTTTCCCGGTTTCTGGCACTGGCATTCTTTTGTTAGTTTACCGTCGGTGCCACAATAGGAGCAGAATTTCTTTACTGGATTCTGGCATCGGAAACGATTGTGGCCTCTTTGTTTGCACCTCCAACAGCAAGTGTTTCGGTCGTACGCTGTGGCTAATGATGTTCGCGGCTGAGGTACACTCTTCCTAATTTCCGGTTTGCCTCTGGGCTTTTCGTTTTCGAGCTGTTTCTTTGTCTCTTCCAGCTCTTCGACTTTCTGGATCAGTCCGGTCACGGTTCGCACGGCTGATCTGGGGATATACATACGGTATTCCGCTCGCACATTATAATAAATTATGTCGAGCTGCTGATCAGGAGTATACTCCCCTCGGCGGCGAATGAGAGTCATGATGGAAGTCGTGAAGGCCCGAATTTTCTCATTAACGCCTTGCTTACGGTCGTTAATCTGCCGGTCTAATTGGCGTAACTCGCCTGGAGACAAATAGAAATCTCGCAGGCCAGCTTTTAATTCTTTGAGCGTGGGGTAGTCTGTCTGAAAGTTCCGGTACCACAGTTGCGCCTCGCCACGGAGCAGTTCCGGAAATCCTTTTAATAACTGCTCATCTGTCAGTGAGTAGGCGCGTTGCAATTCCTCGACTCGCTCCAAAAATGTGTATAGGTCACGCCCGTCAAAGTGACAATTCCACTTCCTCATCTGGTCGAGGATCTTTGTATCGTCTGTTCTGCTGTGATCGTTCGTTGGTGTGGAATGCCGCACCTGTCTGAGTTGGTCTAACTCGACTTGCAGTCTCTGCGCTTGCCTGAGTTGGTCTAGTTCGGTTTGCATTCTCTCCATATCGCGGGTTCGATCATCTTCCTTTCTATATCCAGGGGCGTCTTCAGGTTTCTCCTGGTATTCTTCCGGGTGCGATCGTCTAAGTCCGCGCTAAGGCCGTGGGTATCTCAAAAGTCTTATTTTTTCCAATAAAATCTTTAGTGTGATTTTTTAAGAAATATAACATTTTTTAATCAAAAACTAATGCTAAAGCAACTAGTTTGTATAAATATCCGCTGTTTTATTTGGCGCAATTTGTTGATATCATTACTTTTGTAGAGAAGATAGTTTTGTAGAGAAGATATTTTTGTAGAGACGATATTTTTGTACAGACGATTTTTGTGGAGACACTATTTTTGTAAAGAAGATACTTTTGCAGTAAAGATATTTTTGTAGAGATTATACTTTTGCAAAAAAGATAGAGTAACAAAATATATTCGGTTGAATTGGAGCTTAGACTTGGTGCTTTTTTTTACCTTTTTTAAAAGGTAAGTTTTTTACGTTCTCCAGACTTGGCACCCAGCGACTATTATCTGTTCTCAAACCTCAAGCGGTGGCTCCAGGGAAAGAGATTCAGATCGAATGAGGAAGTCATCGCGGAAACCGAAGCGTATTTCGAAGGCTTGGACGTTTCGTACTATAGAAAGGGCATCGAAATGTTGGAAACTCGCTATGAAAAGTGTATTGCTCTCGAAGGCAACTATGTTGAGGAATAAATATAACTTTGCCTAAAAAACGCTTGTTTTCATTAAAAATCCCGGGACTTTTCAGCCCATGTAGTACGTCCCATTTTCCTAATCCCTCCCAAACCTCCTTGTCCTTGTTCTCCAATCCTGTCGCATTCCAAAAGTCCACCTTATATTCCTCCCTTCTT